AGGAGGAGGAGGAGGAGGAGAGGAGGAGGAGGAGGGAGAGGAGGAGGAGGAGGAGGAGGGAGGAGGAGGGAGGAGGAGGGGGAGGAGGAGGAGAGGAGGGAGAGAGGGAGGAGGAGGAGGGAGGAGGAGGAGGAGGAGGAGGAGGAGGAGGAGGAGGAGGAGGAAGAAGAAGAGGACGAAGAAGAGGAAGAAGAAGCAGAAGAAGAATAATAATAATAAGAAGAATAAGAAGAATAAGAAGAAGAATAAGAAGAATACTAAGAAGAAGAATAAGAAGAACATAAGAAGAAGAATAATAATAAGAAGAAGAAGAATAAGAGGAAGAAGAGGAAGAAGAGGAAGAATAATAAGAATAATAAGAAGAATACGAAGAATAATAAGAAGAATAATAAGAATAATAAGACGAAGAAGAAGAATACTATTAATCATAATAATAAGAAGAAGAAGAGGATGAGGAGGAGGAGGAGGAGGAGGAGGAGGAGGGGGAGAGGGGCGGAGGAGGAGGAGGAGGAGGAGGAGGAGGAGGAGGAGGAGGAGGACAGCACGCTGACCTGTGTCGGACGGGGCCCCCCTTCCCTTCCCCGGGGCCTCCTGGGAGGCCCTCGTTGCCGCCACTGGATTCGCCTCGGCATCCTGGTCAGAGCGCGCCCTGAGAGAGGTCCGGGGAGGGTCGGCGGTGAGCGAGGGGGGGAAGCGAAAAGGGGCGGACCTGCTCTGAAGGCTCGGAAGTCCCCTGGCCAGCTGAGAAGTTTTCTGAGCCTTGACACAGAAACCTTTTCTGAAGGCACGAGGGCTTCTGAGAAGTCCCGCCGCCTTTAGAGAAGGCCTTCTCCTTCTCACTTGCCCCCCTCGCTCGCCGCCGAGAGTGGCGGTATCGGTACCTTGTGGTTTCCCCTGGATGGGCCCGGCACGGATCGGCGCTGGGTGTGTATCGGGGGCAGCCAAGGAGGGTGGGTGACGCGGGGGGGATATGAGAAGGCCCCGATCTCTCCAGAGTTCATGGCCCCCCTTCTCGTGCCAATACTCGCCGGCGATCGAGGGGGGGGGAGTGAGAAGGAGAAGGCCTTCTCAGAGGGCGGCGGGACTTCTCAGAAGCCCTCGCGCCTTCTGGGAAGTGTTCTGCGTCTCCGGGGAGGGCTCGGGAGCTGTTTCAGCAGGCTGGGGGGCCTCCGAGCCTTCTGAGAAGGTCCGCCCCTGCTCGTCTCTCCCCTCACTCGCCGCCGAAAAAAGGGGGGTGTCAAACGACGCGAAGATCGGGACAAAATCGGATCGGGATAACTCGAAATCTCTGAGAATCGGCGGGTTTGGAGGATCTATTGGGCGCCGCGGCCGCTCCAGAGCGTTCCGGAACGCTCTGAGAGCGCTCTGGAACGCTCTGGAGCGATTTATCCCGATCCTAGCCCTGTTTTAGGGTGGTGACGGGGGGCGGGACGTCATGGCCGGGGCCACGATCGTTCCCCGGAGTTCATGGCCCCTCTTCTCGTTCCGATGCGGTTTCGGGGGAGCGTAAGACCCGGGTTTGCCGGGACTCGGGTGCGCCATCGTTTTTTGACGACCGCGCCTCGGATTTTGACGAGGAGGAGTGTCATGGGAGGTCTGCAGCGGGAGGCCTCGTCAAAATGCAGGCTCGGCCTCGTCATTTTTTGACGACCTCGCCGGGTTTTTTTTCGAGTCCCCCGTACCCAGGTCTTACGCCCCCCTTGTCCTTGGCGGCCCCTCGGCCGCGCACGTGCCTCGGACCATCCTTGGCGAATCACTCTCTTGGACGCCTCCCGGGGGCTCCTTTCGATTCCTCCGACTTGCGTCGATTCGACTTCTATCAATTCGGATCCGCCTCGGCTTCAGATTCTGATCCGGCTCTCTAGCCTGCCGACCGCCGACTCGACTTCTCCCGACCTGGCTGCCGCCTCCCGCCGATCCGAGCCTCGATCGCCGATCCGACCCGTCGATTCCATGCCAGGCTTTTTTTTTTTGCCGCAATGGCCCCCCCTCTTTGGACGCCCCCGGGTGCCGCGGGACTCCTCCGCGAGGGTCGCTCCCGCCCAGGGGCCGCGCCTGCGTGTGGCCGGCCCTCCGCGGCAGCCTGCGGCTGCACCTCGCCCAGGGACCGCGCGGGGGGCAGCGTGAAGGGGTGCGGGGGGGCAGGGCTCGTCTCGATTCCTCCGGTTCGATTCGATTCGACTCCGACGGCTTCCGATGCTCGGGCCGGGCGAAAGGGGGGGATTGGGAAAGGGGGGGTTACGAAATCTGCTGCATGCAGCTGGTTTCGGCCCCGCCGAGGGGCCCATTCCTCGATACACATGGCCGCCTCCCGGCGCCTCCCGGCGCCGGGACAATCAGCTACGTGAGCTGATTCTCAAACCCTTCCTTTGCTATCCCCCCCTTTCGCCCGACCCGAGATGCCAATTCGATTCGACTTCGGATTCCGGTTCGGGCTCCGATTCCTTATCTGAGGCGCGCAGTAGCCTGCCGATGTCCGCCGATGCGGCTTTTCCCAAGTCGGCTGCCGATGTCTGCCGGTCCGGTTCGGATCGATCGCCGATCCGACTTGCCGATTCGATTCTTGGCTCTCCTGGGGGGGGGGCAGGTGGGTGCTCAGGCGGGTGGTGATGGGGGGTGGCCTAAATTGTCTAGTCCTCCTAGATGGGGTCGGAGGATCGCGCCGCATCGCCGATGCATCGGCGATGCGGCTCAATGTGGAGCCCGTGTTTCCCCATGCCGACGTCGCCGATGCGTCGCCGACGTCGCCGATGCATCGCCGATGCATCGATGGTGCATTGCCGATGCATCGCCGCCGATGCATCGGCGATGCGGCTCGATCCTCCGACGCCATCTGCTCCGACCCTATCTGAGGATGCCTCTTTCAAATTGGGGTGAAGAGAAGGGCCCCCCAGGGGCCCTTTGGGGCCCCGTCTGGAGCCTCCAGGGACACAAAACGGTGCCCTAAGCAAGAGCTCGGTTTGGGGCCCTTGGCTTCCCCCCTCCTTTGGCTCACCCCCCATGGCAAACTGGCCCAAGGGGGCAGGTGTGTGCGTGTGTTGTCCTTCCTGGGAGCCTCAGGGGGTCTCACGGTTCATTGCGGTGTTGCGGATTTCGCCAGGATTGCAATGGATTTGGTCATTGCAATGGATTTGGTCGACAAATGGACGAAATTTGGACGGAATCTGCACGAAAGGATGAGGAGTGGTGGTCGAATTCCGGACGAAGGCCGGTCGAAATCACGTGTCGGGCCGCGGAGGTCTACAGATGCTCCCATGAAGGCTCACCCAGGGGCAGGCGCAGGAGACCGTTCTTCCAATCCCCTGGCGATAACGGGCGTAGCAGATCTTGGGAGCCTCGCCTACCCTCCCAATTTCGAACTGAGTCGGTTCGCGTCGATCGGCGGCGTCTGGTAATCGATGAGGTAGCGCCGATTGAGCGTCGAGTCGTGTCGATTCGCTTCGCGTTCGCGTCGTTGAGCGTCGATTCGCAAGAGCCAACAAGATGGTATGGGAGGATCTCTTGGGTTGCCACCGACAGGAGTGGGTTAGGGTGGGCACGTCACGGTTCGTGCCGGCGCCAGCGCGAATATTGACGTGAAGGGCTCCAGAGGGGAGGGGGGTGCATCGGCCCCTACTCGCCCATTCAACGCCGAGAGGGGCCTTGTTCCCCACGCCGCCAAGGAGCGCGCGGTCTGCAGTCGGGGGCCCATCGCAGATCTACCCGCGATGTTTCGCCGATTCCAGCTCGACGTTTCCCACCCCAGAGCGGATCCCGCCCTTCGGCGCCGGGGCTCGAGAGGCGGGGGTCAATGCAAACGGGGGTCAGCCGGAGCGCCGGATCTTGCAGGATCCTGCAGGGCGAGGGCTGCACTGACCCGGGCTTGGGTACAGGATCTCGCGGCACGCTGCAGGATTTTGCAAGACCTCGCAAGGCCTGACTGACCTTGGTTCAGAGCCCCGAATCATCAGAGGTAACTCGGGTCAGGGCTAACTCGGGTTCTTTTTTCGGGAATCCGAACCCTATTTACCCCGGACCCGAGTTACCCCGGATAACTCGGGCGCCCAATTGGTCTGGATTGACCCGGGTCAGGAGATCCCCGACGGCGGCGCGCCCAGGGGGGTCGGCGCGACGGGGCAGGCCTTCCCCTGAGCGGGAGCCTGCCCCCTCGGCCTGTCCCCCTGGGGAGGAGGAGGGGGAGGAGGAGGAGGAGGAGGAGGAGGAGGAGAGGAGGAGGAGGAGGAGGAGCGGAGGAGGAGGCGGAGGGGGGAGGGGAGGAGGAGGAGGGAGGAGGAGGAGGAGGAGGAGGAGGAGGAGGAGGAGGAGGAGGCGGAGAGGAGGAGGAGGAGGAGGAGAGGAGGAGGAGGAGGAGGAGGAGGAGGAGGAGGAGGAGGAGGAGGAGGAGGAGGAGGAGGAGGAGGAGGAGGAGAGGAGGAGGAGGAGAGGAGGAGGAGGAGGAGGAGGAGGGAGGAGGAGAGGAGGAGGAGGAGGAGGGAGGTAGGAGGAGGAGAGGAGGAGGAGGAGAGGAGGGGAGGGGAGGGGAGGAGAGGAGGGGGAGGGGGAGGAGGAGGAGGTGGAGGAGGAGGAGGAGGCGGGCGGCGCGCCCCGCCGAACCTGCCGTTGCCCCCCCCCCCCCCCCCCCCCCCCCCCCCCGGGTCCGTGGGCGGACAACACATCCGTGTCCGCGGCCTCGCGGGACTGGGCCCTCGGGCCACGACCCCGCGGCTGCGGTGCGTCTCTTCGCGGCTGCCCCGCGCGGAGCGTGCCCTCGCCGCCGCGCAGCCGCGGGGCCGCGCCCCCGAGTCCTGGCCGCGAGGGCGCGGACGCGGTCGGCTCCGCGCCAGAGCGACCTCTGGCCAGAGTGACCCTTACGGTGTGGGTTCACGCGGTTCCCCGGTGGCCTGCGCGTTTGGACTTGGCGGTCCCGCTGCCGCCCGGTACCGTGCACCAAAAAGGTCATTCCTTGCCGAGGGTCACTCCCTGCGCGGGGCCGCTGCGGATGCATTCGCCGCTCGCGACAGGAAAGTCGCACTCGCGGGTCGTGATCAGCCAGCTCCTTGTCTGGGACGGCCCGGGGTCTCGGGAGGCCGTGGCCCCCCCGGTGGGCGGGCCCGCCGGCAAGGCGGCAGGGCGGGGAGGAGGGGGAGGAGGCGCGTTGCCCGTTTCAGCCCTGGGTAATTAAGCGCGTGGCGTCGAGGCGGGGAACTCATGGGGCAGCGCGGCACCGAATGAAGCAAAATACTGTTCCCCCCCCTCCCTCCTCCTTTTCCTCCTTCTCCTCCTCTCCTCCTCCTCCTCCTCCTCCTCCTCCTCCTCCTCCTCCTCCTCCTCCTTCTAGCCCCCCCTGCTCAGGCCTTTCAGAAGCTGGGGCACGCGATGCTGCACCCCCCGATACTGAAACTCGCCTGAGAGGATGGCCCCACGGCCAACCCGCGCGCGCCGATGTTTTCCTTTTTGCATTGGAATTGCATGGCTGCTGCTGACGAGTTGCGGCTTCAGGATATCTCGGACGAATTCAAGACTATTGATATCATTGCATTGACTTCGACGGGCGAGAGAGCTGGAAATCAAGCGTGTACAGTGACGCGTCTTCGGTATCACATTGCCCTTCGGCACGGCTACGTCCCTGGACGACATGTGAACAAGTCGTGTGGTACCACCCTTCTCTTACGAAAGGCCAAGTTTCGTTTGAAGCATATTGTGGATTCGCCTCCCGTTCCTCGACAGCTGCAAGGCCGTGTGGCGCTCCACCGCGTGAGGTCGGGGCGGCTCGACCTGCTGATACCTGTCACTTATTTTCCTCCTCGGCCTTCTCAGCGTCGTGAAGGACGCGAAAGTACTCATGATGCACCTTATCGACGCTATCGTGACACAGTCTGCTGTATGTGCTCGTGGCTGGAGAAAACCTTCACCTGGGCCAGGGCTCGCTCTTCGGTGTTCTGGGGGTTCGACCTGAACGACTCGCTCGGCCTCCGTCGTCAGCCTGGCGGCGTTTTTGAGCACTTGCAGTCACGAGCTCTTGACCACTTTGGACGCAGTGAACAACGGTTTGCTGGAGATCGAGTTTTGGAAATACTTGAAATATATGCTCTGCGGGCAGTGTCCATGGACTTCCCTGTCGAGGATACGCACTATGGCCATGCGAGCTCGAGCCCGATTGACTACGTTGCTGTCTTCGAGTGGCATGCTGCTGATGTGGTTGCTTGTCATGGCCTGAAGCGGTCTAATCTGAAATTGAAGCTGGTGCGCAAGCACGGCCTGCAGGACCACATCCCGATCCTGATGCGCGTCCGCTGCGACTTCGACTTATCTTGGTCACGGCCTGAGGGAGCACGATGGGATTTTGACAAAATGGCTCAGGCTCTGCTGCGGCACGGCGAGAACGTTGCGCCATTCATGCAGGAGCTGGAGTCTCGCTTCTCTCAGATGCCGAACTTCCAGGAGTTACTATTGAAGGCGACTGCGCCCGACGGTGCTTGGCAGGACTGGATCACGACGGTTCACGACGTGGCCTCGTCTCATTTCAGTCGCGCGGCCACGACCGATCCGACGGCGCGGGAGTACGTGAGGAGCGGTCACGGCTGCTTGCTGTTCGTCGGCATCAGCGCGAAGCTGGTTCGGATGATCTTGAGTCCTTCCTTGCCCTGTCTCGGTGTTCGAGGCGGCTTCGGTCACATCGGCGTGCACGGCAGGCCTCGGTGGTGGCGCAACTAGTGACTGAGATACAGCAGGCGTGGCAGTCTAGGCGGCATGCTGAGGTCTGGCGCTTGGCTCACCCTCTCGCTGGTCAGTGTCGAGGTCCCCGCAAGCGTCGCTACAATGCGGCCGACGAGTTTCTCCCGCGGGCCTCGGATGTATGCGAGTTCTTCGCGCAGCCAGGCCCAAGAGGCGGCCTTCGTGCGGAGGCCGTGGATGTGCACCAGTTTCTGCAACAGTGCGTTGCTGATCTCCCCCCCCCCCCCCTTTCGGTGCCGACGACTTCGCGCGGCCGAGGCAGGCCGAGACGATGTGCAGCACGTTTGTGGCATTATTGCCCGTGCTCCTCGGCGGATGGCTTCGCCTTCACATCGTGTGCCTGGAGAGATTTTGCAGTTGGCTGTCGATCCTGCTCGTCGCTTCGATGGCTCTCAGAGACCCCGACGGCGACGGCGACAAGACGCTGAAGACGGCGATGATCTTGATCAGGGCTCTGGGTCTCAGCAGGCACCTGCCCCTTCTGATCCCTCGGCATCGTTTGGGGGGAGATCGACGGGGCCTTGGAGCTGGCCCAGTGGAGTACTCCAATAAGCTCTCCGTCAGGGCCCTCCAACAGATTTTCCATCACATTCGTCGCGTCGGCAGGGCCCCTGCGGTCTGGTACCGCTCGAGGGCCGCGGGGCTCAGCAAGATGAACGGGAAGGACGGGCTTGGGGCTCGGGGGTTCATCCATGTGCTCTGCAGGATGGGCGTGGCCTGGTACAAGGCCCAACTCGTACGTGGGGTTTCGGACATCATCCCTGACCGCGAACATGGGCATCCCCTTGGGCGAAATCGGGAGGGCGCCTTGGTGTGCCAGGAAGCGTTACTTTGGAGGCTTCGGGGGCAGGGGGTCTCCAGCGTCACCTCGATGGGGGACATGTCCAACGCTTTTGGATGCTCTACTTTTGAGGAGCTCCGCACGATTGTAGAGATGTCCATCGAGCCTGCGGCCCAGAAGTTTTTTTCACCAGAGACAAGAGCGCAGCACGTTCGCGGTTCAGACAGCAGATGGGGAGCAGACTGTTCGGAATCATTGTGGCGCGTTCATGGGCGATCGCCCCGCAGCGGTATTTTTTTGCACGGACCTTCAGAAGGCCGATTCAGAAGTGGCTCGACTCTCTGCGAGAGTACTCATGGGGGAACAGGCCTGCTCCACCTCGTCCCTCGACATATTCTGAATGGGCGTCGACTTCTCTTGCTCCTCGCGTTCCTCCTGATAACTTGGAAGAGTATATTTGGCCTTCTGAAGCGCTCTGCACGGCATGGGCGCCCTTTCTTCATCGTGCGGTACCGCTCTGCTGCCGTATTTACGCCGACGACACCAGTAAAACTCACGTGGTGGGATCGGCTTTGAATGCGCAGCATGCTTTAGATATCGCTCATCAGCGGCTGCGTGAATCTCTTGCTGGCGGAGGCTATGAGCCCAACGCTGACAAAAGTTGAGCGTCTCCTGTGTTCGTGGGCAAGGGCTCCGAGGGCTTCTCGGCTGAGCTCTTCGGGGGATCGGTGCCAGTCTCGGGGAAGATCCGCTTCCATAACGTCTCGTTGGGGATTGCCACGTCAGTCAGTGGAGGGGTTCAGGAAGAGCTTCGTCGTCGGGTGCTTGCGCGTCGCCGCGGTTGCTACTCCATGGGCAGGTTTTGGTCTCAGAACCGGGCCTGGCGATTTACCAGGACGGTCTTTGGGGCTGTTGTGCAGGGGGCCTTACTGTCTGGATTGGTCACGCTGATTCTCACTCCCGCTCAGGAGAGGAAGTTAGACAGGGTTCTCGTGGGCTTTGCTCGTAGACTGCTGGGAGGGGGCGCCTGCAAGAATATCGAAATTCTCGACGACGACGGGCAGCCCGAGCTCGACGACGATGGCAAACCTAAACTTCGATACCAGGCGCGTTCCGATGAGGTGGTGCTGCGTCGTGTCGGGGTCGCCCCTTGCGGTGCCGAGCTGCGTGTAAGACGTCTGCGTGCATATCGTCGCTGGTTGCGTCACCCTCGCAGGCGTGCTCAGGAAATCGGGGCACTGTTCGGTCAACTACCTGTAGAGTCTACGCCTACAATATTAGGTAGTGGGACGCTCTCTGCTACTGCTAATCCGCATGCTTGGAGGTTTGCCGTGGACTGTATAAGGCTTTTGAGGAGGTGTGAGGAGGAGGACTTTCTCGAGGCGCTTCTGGTGTTCGACTCCCCCACCCCCGACCCGCTCAGCCTCGACATACGTGCTCTCTTCGAGGACCCCGAGGTTCGAGATCGGTTGCTTCGGCTGGACCTTCGTATTTTGCGAGCTGCTGCGCGCGCAGTGGCTATCCCCCCCCCTCCTGGGCTGTGCGAACCTGGCGCCGTCGATGGCGGTCCTGCGGCCCCTCCCCCGCCGGCCCCGACGACCTGGAGATGCGAGCTCAGAGATTCAACGGGGCGAGTGCGTGGTCGTGAGTTCCAGACACGGCGGGCTCTACTGGCCCATCAGCGTTTCTCGACACAAGGGGGCCACTCAATTCGGTCGATCGCCCATGCCATCACGGTCACCAATCAGTGCGTCTACTCTCATCAAACATTCAGGACATGTCGCATAGCCCAGGAACATACCTTACGAGCCATACTACAGCTTGAATGCCCTCGTCAGTCGGTGTTTCATCATCCCGTTCATGTGCCAGAGGATTTGGTGTGTCCCTTGTCGTCTATCACGGTCGCTTCTACTCATGGAGGGCACCTCGCAGCTTATTGTTGCTCAGTGGATCGTGCCTTCCGCGTCTCTGGACCTTCTGTCTGATCACCTGGCGACTCACGCGCCCGCCCCACTCTCTCAGGATGTTCAGGCTGGCCGCGTCGCACACGCAGGCAGCCGCCGAGCGCTCTCGCTCGGCGGGGCGCGACGGGCGCGGCAGAGGCGGCGAGAGGCACCGCAGTGGGTCCGCGGCTGCTTCCCGAACTCGCGGGGGGCGCGGTGCTCGGCGGCTCAGCCTGGCCCCGCGGCAGGGCGACGCTGGCCCAGCGGCGGGCGCCCTCGTGCGCAGGCCGCCGAGATCGGGGAGATTTACGGCCTGGCCCCCGACACGATCGACCGCCTCCCGGAGATGGACGCGCAGATGATGGCGCGGATCTTCCCAGTGCTGATGCGTGCGGTATTGGGCAACACGTTCCAGCTGCGGATGCCAATGGCGGCGGAGTTTCAGACGTTCACGGCGGACGAGGCGGTCTCGGTTATCAAGATCGGCTTCCAGGCGGGCAGGGCGTGCGCGACCAGGGCGGCTCGTCTTCGCGCGGCCCATCAGGAGGACCCCAGCGCCCCCACTCCCGAGGCGAAGATGGGCCCCGCCTGCGTGCAGAT